GGATTTGCTGGGGTGAGATCAGGTAATCAAATGCAAAGGGACAAACTGCTGTTGGCGGTGCTTCAGGAAGCCCACAGCATTTCGTCTTAATTATACATCAGGCTCCAGGTCAGGATTCAGAAGAGCCAGGTAGAAACTCTTCATTCAAGTGAGGGGTTTTTTTCAATTAAAAATGTCGCTTTCATAAAAATAAACATGCTTGGGAGAAGTCTTGCTGTTGATTTAAACGCTGTGACTAACACCAAAGTACCCACAGCTTCAGCAGTGGTTATCGGCTGGTGGGTAGCAGTAACTTTTGTTCCAGAACAAATTCATTGTAATGCAAGCTTAAAAAGAAAAATCTTTTAATCATAGCAAATGTGCTGGGTTTACCTGACAGTGACACTTCGGTGAGGCCAAAAAGAATTCCCACACAGAATTCTGTTACTTGGAAAATTTGGACCCTTTTTCCATCCCCTTTCGGAGCAGTAAAACACACGCCGGCGCCCGGAGCTGCCCGGGCTGCGGGATGTGGGGCTGAGCAGGGACCGGTCCCTGCCTCCCGCCGCGTGGCACTGCCCCGCCGGGACGCAGCCCCTTGCTCACCAAGGCTTGGGTGCTGCACAGCACTGCGGTGTTTCTGTCTGCTGGCGGAAGACCTCTTCGGTTGCTCTGCTACCTCGCAGTCACGGTGCCAGTGCCTCCCTGCGGTCGTGACATCCGTGGCACGAGTTCCTCCTGGCCTCAGCCGAGCACCCGGGCACAGTGTAGGTGCAACCCCAGTGAGTGAGGCTGCTTGCTGAGAGGCAAATCACGGCAAAGACGGGGACCAGCCTGGCTCTGAGGGCCCCTGTAGCCAAAGTCTGGACGCGGTGGCTCCCCGCAGCCGCTCAGGGGGAGGAGGAGCTGCAGCCAGCAGCTGCAATGGAGCCATTCCTGACATGGCTTAGCCGTGCTTGGAGTGGTAGCTGCGTTGTTGGTAGCTGCAGCCATCTCGGACCTTTCCCTCCTGGCTTCCAGCCGGGATGTGACAGCCCGTCCTCGGCAGGGTCACTTGGGGCATGAGTCATCGCACAGTCCTGCACAGCCGGACCAGAGCCAGCACAAGGGGAAAGCCCTCAAACACATGCAGGGTGGCTGCGGGGGCCTCAGCACGGCTCTCGTGCAGTTTGTGTAGCAGGACTGGCACCGACACGGGTGTTTGCCACTCCGCGCCACTGCCTGTGCAATCACACCCGCTCCGCCCCAGCCAGGGCATCCCCTGGGCATCCCGCTCGGGGTGTGGGCTCAGGGTTCACCCTGAAAGCCTGCCATGGGCTTGTCCCCGACCTCAGCTGCCTGGGTGACTTTGAAAGCAGGCATCCAAGTGTTTTGTTTAACACTCGCAGCTCGGAACTGGGAATAGGAAACCTTGCTCCCAGCCTGGCTCTCCAGGCTCCAAGGGCACTAATGGCCTTAATTGCCCTGACCAGCTCCACCTGCCCTCTCCACCCAGGGCTACATTAAAGCTCAGCTCTGGGTCCCCTTTCATTCCCCTGAGCAGTGTCAGAGGTGTGCCTGGCTCTGGCTCCTGGGTGGACTTTGGACCTGCATTCAATCCTGTCTCCTGCTGTTCTGGGATTATGCAGCAAATGACGTGTGAGTGTGGTAACTGAAAGCTAGAAGTCTGCTAGAAACCGTGCCTCCCTGGAGAGCTTGGGTTAGCTTTATGCTGGTTTGCAATGGAAACTGAATGAAAAAAGTATGCCCTGAAATTTCAGAGGATGAGATGCTTGAACAACCTTTCCCTGGGTCTGTGCTGATTAGAGACCGCCAGACACACCCAAGTGGGGGTGCCAGACATGGGGGGCTGCCCCTTCCCACTGCCTGGCACCGACGTGCCCACCAGCCCTCCTTGTGCCTCGCAGTGGGGTGAAGGCAGCAATGGCAGCCGTGGAGGATGGAGGTGCTTTTCTCCTTTGCGGGCTGGTATCATTTTGCCCTTTCACAGAGTCGGGGGGAGGCTCTGTTACCACCGTGGGGACAGCCCAGAGCCCCCCCGCCCCATCTCCCAGCCGCCGG